ATGCATTTTCCTGTTTTCACATTTTGGGTTATATCCCTTTTTTTATTCCACTCATTGCCAGACACTAAACCAGATCTAAAACCAGGTCTAAACTAGGTCTAAACCAGATCTAAACCAGGACTAAACCAGGACTAAAACCAGGTCTAAATCAGGTCCAAACCAGGTCTAAACCAGGTCTAAAACCAGGTCTAAACCAGGTCTAAACCAGATCTAAACCAGGATTAAACCAAGACAAAACCAGGACAAAACCAGAACTAAAACCAGGTCTACACTATGTCTCAAACAGGATTTAACAGGAATAAACCATGCCATGCGGACCGTGTCTTCTCCTCTTCTATCAATACTTTTTAAAATTTGGTTAAGTAAAGTCTGGACTTTTCATTTTCCTTTAGCAGACAAAACATCTTATGTGAAGATGTCCGAGTCTTTGCTTCCCTACAGCAAACCAAATAATCCAAAGTATTCAGATTACATTACTCACTTTAAGTAATTTAATGGATTCTGTTGACAAACTACATTTTGGGGTATGTAATCTGTAATCTGTAGGGGAATACATTTTAAAAGTAAAGTTCCCAACACTGGTTACAGGTCAGATCTGTGAAGAGGCAAGCCCGCTCACAGTAAGAATACCTGTTTTTCTAGGTATTTTTGAGCTATAAAACCATCTGTACTTGAAGAAGGTAGAGCTGTTTAATGTCATACTGTGAAACAAACAGGTGATGGGCCCTCATCCAAAAAGTTGCATAGTGCACCTTTAATGCTAGGTTTAATGCCATACTGTGAAATATAATGCACAAAACAATAACATCTCCATGGAGACAAGCATCCAAATAAAGACCACTGGTAAATTACATAGTGCATATTTAAAAACAAGACCAAAATAGATAGTACTGCATATGTTTTCGCTTTCATTTACTACCCTTAATTCATCCAATCAGGGCCTGCTTGAACCTTTATAATGAAGAGCTGTTGTGATAATGTAGAGTCTGTTACTCCTCATTATGTGCATTCCATCTTCTGCTAATGATTCTTTAAAAAGCAGGTCTCAAACGCAAATGTCACTCCCTCCCCATCTCTTAATACAATATGCAAATATGAGAAAACACCTGCTGCTTCACAAACGTACACACCTCACAGTAATTGTATCTTTGACACACACCTGCTTCTGCTACACAAAGCCCATAGGAATCTGTCTTCACAAAACTGTTTGAAGTTTCCCTTTGAATTATAGCGAGCCAAAATATTGTACGCTGACAAAAAGGGAACAAAAAGGGGATGAAGAGTTTTGGGGGTTTGATTCCCACATCAGAAAGAGTGATATGGATTTGGGGGTTTATGCCAGATGCCCTACCTGATGCAACTCTTACAATGTCTAGACAGTCAGACATTCACCAGCTTGAACTACCCATGGATTTCATTTGCTTATTTTAAGGACTTTTGACATTCAAAAGTGGTCACATATTTTAAAAAACACAAAGAAAGTGAGAGCTTGTCCGAGTTATTTACCTTGTGGATCAATAAAGTCTGTCTATGTCTAAGTCTAAGTCTAAGCTACAGAGAGTTCTCTTGGTGAAAAATGACTGCTTTTATAAATTTTGTCACAGTAAGTTTTTATACTAAAAGCAGGGTCATTTTCACTGTTTGCTAATCAAATATTTTATTTTAAATTGGTAATCGCTATGGCAGCAGTCCTAATTTCTAATGATTGTGAAACTTATGGTTGCGTAACTCTTTTGGTGCCCCTCTTCCTGCTTATTTGAAATGTATTGTTGTTAAAAGTAAATTTTATTAGTATTATTCGTTTTATTATGATGATGATCTAATCAGTATTTCAAGTGGCTATTTAGACCAGGGGTGTCAAACTCAAATTCACAAAATTTAAAATGTCGTGGGCCAAACTAAATATTTATTGAAAAATTTCAACAACATCTGCATGTTTTCTCTTCTTTTGAGCTATGTAATGCTAAACCATTTCTTATTAAAATAAATGTTTAATAATAGTTTTATTTAAACATTAAATCTAGAACAAACTAAATATAAAATAATAACAACATTTTAAATAAATAATGTCTCTATAGTCTATCTGTAGCCCGCGGGCCAGCTCTAATACATATTTGATATGATCTCGCAGGCCAAATATAATTATATCACGGGGGAAATATGGCCCCCGGGCCTGAGTTTGACATGTCTAATTTAGACTTAAAGGTGCATTGTGTAACTTTTCTGTTGGAGGACTTGTCAAAAGTGGTTTCTCTGTGGATATGCTATTGCTTTGTGTGGAATATTTCACATTATGGTGTAAACCTTTCTATCTTCCTGGAGACCAAAACAGACCAAGTTACAGGTCAGATCTGTGAAGAGGCAACCCCGTTCACATTCAGAATGCCTGTTTTTCTTGGTATTTTTGACCTATAAAACCATCTGTAATTGAATAAATGTAAGGCAAAGCTGTTTAAAGTCATAGTGTGAAACATTTCAGGCAGAGCAATGACATATCCATAAAAACAAGCAGGTGACGGACCCCCAACTGAAAGGTTACATAGTGCACCTGTAAAGGATGTAGGGATACTCAACTTATAGCCTACTAAAATGTAGTTATTCCCCCATAGAGAATATTGTAAAATCAGCACATTGTCATAAAATTCTAAGGGTTTATGAGAGTCAATATAGACCCATGTAACAGTCTCAATACCAATTTCCTGTTTTCACGGTTTGAATCAGGTACCCCGCTTTCAATTTCATCTCCATATATATATAAAAATGTACAGGAGCGGAAAATTTAAAGCTTATTAATAATTTAAAAATACACCATGGACCGATTCTGCTTACATGGAAAAAAAGTCTTACAGTGCGCTCGGAATGCCCCTTCAAATCACCATTCAAAACCTCTTTATGTTTGTAGCCAGAGTAACAAATACATCACAGGGTATATTTAGAAGTTGCACAGAATGGCCCTCTCAACGGCATTGTAATTGCTCACAGTGGCCCTATTCACAAGAGACGCCCAGAATAGCACTAACCCCAACACTGATAGATTTTACTGGGCCACTATATGCTTCTTTTCTCCCTGTGATTGTAATCCACCATCAAATAATTACCCATAATCCCATTTGTCATTGTGAGGTAGACAATAAAGAGTAATTCCATAGGACAAGTCTCTCTTTGGCTTTTGTGCTTCCTCCTTCCAGGCTAATTAATCCGGTGGACCCCTACCTCCAAAGCCGAGTGCTTGAATATTTGAAAGGGAAAACAATGAGCGTTAATTAATAGCGTTGTTAGGAGAGCTGGAGGTATACATGCTTAATGAGGATTCTTGAGAAGGTGGCAACAGCTCAGCAGGTGTCTAGTGTTGCCATAGGGACAGATACTATAACTCATAATATACTGTGTACAGGGAAGAGGCAGATAACAGGAAGGTGTGCAGTCGAATGTACAGATATGAGTTAATTGTTTTGAACAAAGTCTCACAACAGTAATAGACTAGAACTTGCCTGATCTTGTGGTTATGGGGTTAAGGCTTGGTGTACTGAGCCACATCTTGTACAGTTGAGAACTCATATGAGAATATTATTGAGGGGTAAACTCGCTGCTTACTGCCAGCACTCACAAATACCTTTATTATTATGACAGAGGAATGCGTGAAAACAATATTCCCCTTTTATTACACCCCTGTGGCTACAGATGCATTTTGATCATTTTATTGTCGTACAGTGTTTGGCCCTTTACTGACCTTTACTTTTGTAATAAATAAAAACAAAATGCTACTGTTGTTTTTATCTTTCTTACTCAACTGTAAATATTTAAGGAAAGGTACGCCGTGCAACTTTTCTGGTAGCGCACTCAGCATCATTTCAGATGTTACACTTTGACTGGAGTGTTTAATAGTATGGCACTTTTTTCTCCATGGGGACAAGCAGAAGATGCTTCCAGGCCAAGTTACAGGTCAGATCTGTGTAGGAGTGAGTTCGGGCAAAGCATAATTATCTGTGTAGAGACAAGGAAGTGGTGGAACCCTTAGCAGAAAATGTGCATAGTGCATATTTAATTTAATAGTTAAATAGCAAAATGTGTGTTATTAATTTACAGTCCACACAGTGTATGGGAGAGGGGAGGGGGGCGGGGACCCACGGCCCGGTACTGGTCTCTAGCCTGGAAGTTGGGTACCCCTGATTTAAATATAAAAATAACTATTCATTAGTACCATCAAGGCATTTAGTTAACTATTAACAAATATTAATACATTAGTTCATAAATAGTTTTCTATTTGTTAAAACATTAATACACAGATTTTATGCAAACAACTGTTTAGTTAAAGATGAAAAAAGTATTAACTTGTACCAAATAGATATTTTTGTAACAATTAATAAATATTAACAGAGGGTTACGTAATGACTAGTTTGCTGTTTATTATGGCACCTTATTATAAAGTGTTACCCAATTTTGTTGCCATTCTTTCAAAACACCCATTGTGTCATAGTCTTACACCTTCATTCACACAGTGTCAACACCAGCTTGAAATGAAAAAGCCCTTGTATAACACCATTATCTTAGTCTTTATTTTGTCACAATTGTATGTCAAATATATATACGTCTATCTGACATATATAATATGACATATATAATTTCATTTCTTTACAATAGAGAAACAACATAGAGATGACACACTATTTTGGTTTCTAGTAGAAGCTCCTTTTTAAATAGTGGCTTGTATTTCTTCAATACACTGTTTAAGTCAAGCTCCCACTCGAGTCCCGCCTTTGTTAGTCCGTATTGGATCACATGTATTCACAAGTCTCTCTCTCTTTCACTGTGTAACTTCTTTTGTCGTGTCACTGTTTTTTCCTCAGTTCAATCTGTTCACTCCAAATATCCCAGCATCTGCTATTGGTCCGACAGCGCCACACAGATGGGCCCACCTGCTAACAATCCTGTATCGCCACGCCAACGGTATTACAGTTTATTGGAGACAGTGTCTGTGAAGCTTTACAAAGTTAATCCAATCAGCTCGCGGAAGGCCTGGCGTGCCCACTACCAGCCGCTCGGCAGCTGGGAACGGCGGTCGCTTCCAAGGAACAGTTTGCACTTCCAGACTCCAGGTTTGTCTGACCTTGGCACAGTTCCTGGACTCCTCTTTGGCCTGTCTCCTTCAAGCCTGTGTTTTGCATCTCCTTTTTCCCAGTCTCATTGTGAGCGTCCACGTTTGCCTCGTCCAAATCCCGCCTGAGTTCCATGGCCGACCCTGTTGTCATGGTGCCGCAAACTTGCCTTGCAGAGTTAGCGCTAGACCCGAGTACAACTGTCTCATAAGGAGCTGAAGGGGAGTTGGTGTCGGTGATAGCAGTCGATGATGTCGTGCCAACCGGGTTCTGCGCCTGGTTTGGGTCACCCGCCTGGAGAGAGGGGATGATGGGAACGGAGCGGGTGCGCAGTGAGGGGGGGAGAAAGATGCCAGCACGGTCAAGGTGGGTGCAGGGTACTTCGGTCCAGCCCTTGCGAATGGAGAAGTGAGAAAGTGAGGTCCTGCTGAGGAGAGTGCCAACCCGTCCACCAGCTGAGCCTTCACACCTGCAGGGAGGACAGAGAGAGAGAGAGAGGGAGTGTGAGAATGATACCGCCACTCATTTACATGGTGACCTTTTTGTTTGAGACGCCAGTCCCTCAGAGAAATGAAACAGGACTGAAGAGCACAGAATGGAGTTGTATCTGTCAATACCGGGGACTTTTACAACCTTATTTTACCGATTGTTAAAAAGGCGTGAAGCATTTAATCTCTGCACAATGCTTAGAATATAAAATGGCATATAAAATGGCAAAACAATACTTTAAAAAAAAAATTTCCTCAATGGGCTGCTTACTTCACTAAAATTCAAGAATGAGATAAACCTCTGACTGGCCAGAAAATAACTGGATTATCTTGCCAATGATATTTTGTATATTTTGGGAACAAAATATGCATTGTTCAGTATTGATATGGTGTCACAACTGAAAACTGAAATAGAAACATTTAAACTAAATACTTTAAAGAGCCCATATGACACTTGTTTTGATCTACTATATGTTACAATGTTGTTTCTTCATGAAAAAAAAAAAAAAAAAAGCTGTGTTTTGTTTAATTTTTGTTTCATTCACACAGAAAAGCAGAATGGAAAAGCACTCTGTTGCACCTTAATATTATTTGGATGATTTCAGTCCTGGAATTTCCAATCTCTACTGGACAAAAGGTAAAAGGTAGCTGTTAATTTGAAAACTACCACTAAATGACATCACAAAGTGGAACAGAGCATTTTGAGCTTTAGATGTAGACAGACTAATAATAAAGTGTTCCTCAAACATTTGTGAATGAAACAAAACACAACTCCAAGTATGTTTGTGATGAAGATACATTATAACATGAAAGCTCATGAGTAAATTTTGTGTAATCTAAGACCTTTAAAATTATTTACTAATTAAAAAAAATGAGTTTTACTGAACAGTTTTAATATGACCTTGAGCTTCATGGCAACTAGTTTAAGGCCACAAGGTAAAATACACAATTATTATTTTTTAAAAAGCATTTTTATTATAACTGTGGTACTGAAATTGCTATCATAAGCTTATTCCATAGTATCACAAAAGTTAGAAATTGTTCAAACATGCTTATTGCTGCTGGTTAATACAGGTGACCCGATCTTGACCCATATAGTATACTGGCAGATAATTCTGGTATGATTTTGTAAGTTGTTTACCAGTTCTTTTATCGACACTATTTCCACAAGCTAACACACATTTCTTATTATGCTGCAAAGTGCCTGTTCCAAGCTGGCATATGGAAACACAATTTATCAAACTATTGCCTGTTGGGGCAGATTTCAACAGCGATAGGAAGTCTACCCGATAATGAACTGGCAGCTTGGTGTCTGACAGGTAAAAGCTCTCCCAATGTGGCACAGTGCAGCATCACAAAACTCATGTCTCCCTGGAAATGGGAGCTACGAGTAGTATAAAGTTTACAGAGAAAAACAAGCTGGGAATTATGAACCACTGCAAAAATAACACAAAACAAAAACTTAGTTAAGTACAGAGTTTAAAGGTGCATTGTATAACTTTTCTGGTGGAGGGTCCGTCAAATGTATTAAACCTTTCTAAGTTACAGGTCAGCTCTGTGGAGAAGCAGTCCCACTCACAGTCAGAATGTTTGTTTTTCTAGGTGTTTTTGAGCTATAAAACCACCAATTTAATACATGTAAGGCAGAGCTGTTTAATATCATACTGTGGAATATTTCTGGCAGAGCAATGACATATTCATAGAAACAAGCAGATAATGGACACGGCACCATAAAAGTTACACAAGGCAACTTTAAGGCAAGACACTTTTTAATTTATTTTTTGGTCATTTTGCTTTCTCAACATGCAGTCTAAATTGTCCAATCTGCACCCAGAGATGATTTATTTTACATTTAATCAAAGTCCATCCATAGATTTATATGAGACATTGTAGACATTGACATTGTAGTGCCTCCGCTCAATTTAATTTCTCTCCAGTGACTAGGTCAAGAATCAGAATACACTGAGAATTTGCAAAAACACGAGAAGTGCGAGTTCGGGCATCAGTCAAGTGAAGAGCCATACATTCTGTGTTGGCAACGATTCCCAAGATCGAGGATTTAAAGGCGAAATAAAGAGAATGTTTGGTGAATTTCATCAAGGGGAAAGACGTTATTGCCCTTCTTCCTACGGGATTTGGGAAAGGCTTAATATACCAGTTAGCCTTTTTAACGGTGGATTACATACGTCACGACCAACTAGCAGCGGCACGGTGGCTGAGTGGCTAGCACTCATGCCTCACAGCAAGAAGGTTCCGGGTTCGATCCCCGGGTCACCCGGGCCTTTCTGTGTGGAGTTTGCATGTTTCTCCCCGTGTCTGGATGGGTTTCCTCCGGGCACTCCGGTTTCCCCCATCAACCCAAAACATGCTACAGGTCTCCAGAACAGTTGATAGTCAAGGTCAGTTAAATACAATCAATCAATGAATCTGTCCAGGGACTACAGGTGGAAATACAGCACTGATGCTACAACCTGATGTACAATGCATCTCTCCTGTTAAGGTAAAATGCAAAAATTGTGTGCTGTCCCTGTCTCAAATAAATAAGTTAAAAAAAAATAAATAAATAAAAAAAATTGGTTAAATGAAAAAAGTACCCGCCTACCGTCGAGCAAATGAATCCTAATGCCGTGAGGTCAGACGGTTTCCATGAAGTGAAACCAACCGGCTGATAAGTCAGGCTAGGAAATCACACCTACACACAAAAATTTATAATCTTATACTTAATTTTGACATGAATTCTAATTTGAATTTTTACATAAATTTTCATTCAAACCTAGTTTACTCAAATACTAAATAAGATTCTCAAAATCCACATTTAATATGACAGAAAAATGAACTAGGACATTTAAACCACGCTACAGATGTACACAAATACAGTACATGTGTTTTCTGTATGGATTTTCTAATGTTCCAGTGTCTGTATAGTTTGTTTTATTATATTTTTTTGTGGTGTCTTAAGAAAAAAAGACAAAAAACACAAATATGTTTTTTATGTCACAAGTAATGATGTTTTGTTTACATTTATTTTAGAAAATTATAGAAGTTTCAAATTGATATATCTAAATGTGTAAGATCGGCAGTGCCTCACCGAACATTTGAGCGCCGATGGAGGCTAATATTGTTAGTAAACTCTCCGTTCAGATTTGGCCTCACCCGGGCACTGCTGTAGGAGACAGTAGCGTTTTTATTGTCAATCTTCTGAGACTGTTTGTGGCATAACCAGATTTATATAATTCAATTTAGTTTCTCCTTCTCCCTTTGGTATTAAACATGACAGAGATGCACGGCTGGAGGTAAAATGTAACCCCGCTAAAAATAAGTCGAGAATTAAAACATGTCCTCATCTGCCACTGCATGTTTTGACAATCCAATAATTATAATTTACCACAGAGATTTTTTTTTTTTTAACTTGATAACTTTTTTTTTTTTTTAGTTCAATGTTCGCACCTCTTCTTTAACACTCCTCCATCTTTCCCTGGCTGCACCTCTCATCATGTCGGCGCTATCTTTCTCTCCGTTCCCAGAGATGAGACCCGGTCGCCATGGCAACAAGATGGATGGAGGGAGGAGAGAGGAAGAGAGAGAGCGAAAGAGAGAGAGAGGAGGAGCTGCTTGTGGTAGCTTTGTGTTATATGGGATGTAAGTGCAAGAAATGGGTCATTTTTGGCCCAGCTGATGAAAAAGAAAAAGAATTATCAATAGCTAATGAACTCCAAAACAAGCTTAAGACAACAAAACGAAAGGAAAAGTATAATCGCGTTATCGCAGCTTTGTGAATTTTTAGTCGAAATCCTCATTAAATTCATCACAAGTTTGTTTGTTATTCCGTGTGAGAAAAGTGTGAATTTGCGAATGTGTGTTGCGCGGTTGAGAGATCGCTTTGGGATTATTTTTTTCCAAATCCGAAAGAAGTGTTGATCTCCACGGAGCTTTGTTTAAAAATGTAAATTATGGAAATGGGTCACTTGGAGAGTTTTGGCACTGGATCTTATAGCCGTCATTGTAAAGAGGCTGAGCAGAGGAGATGTGGTAATAGTGAACAGAAGGATCTCTCTGCACTTTGTGAATGAGTTAGAAGAGACACGAGGGAGAGACAGCATTAATGACATCACTCAGAACAAGGGCATTTCTCGAGTCAGTGACAGTTAAAGATTGTATGCTAAAGAGCGCTGTCAAAACCAAGGCTCAAAAAGCAAAGATTGGCAGATTTTGGGAAAGATTCAGTCAGATTGCGATAAGAGTGGCAGCTACAGCGAGGGTATTTATGTATTATTAAAGGGGACATATTATGCAAAATTAACTTTAAAGGGCTTTTAATGTTTTAATTTTTCTCATTGACCTACTTGTAATTGGATTTAGAGTGATTCATGTATGATTGAGTACTCTCTATTCTCCTGCAAGAATTGATCTGAAAATTCCTATTTCCATTGGCCCCACAAGCTCACTCCCCTGTACTTATTTGTGCTCCATTTTTATTTAGCTTAAATGGCGATGCACAAATAGGATTGAGCAGTGTCGCCCAGCCGTTTTGGCACAAACACAGGGCATTTGAAATTGGTACAATCTGAGCTATTACAGGAACTGCATGCAGCCAGAGCTCCAAGCAACAGAGGCTGCACTAGCACGGATTCATGATTGGCTGTAGTTGCTGGGGTTTAGGATCACAGAGAGGAATTTCAGCATGATAACCGGTAACCCAAATGAGACCAAACATGTCGAAATTTCAAATCAAATTGTTACATAAAGTTATTTTAAGCCGTAAAATGGATAACAGTATTATGCAAAACAGCTTCAGAGCTTTTAACCATGTTATCGTTGTTTCCACTCACCATTTACTCATCTAAAGTTGTATTTGGAGTGATCTGTGCATGTTTGAGTGATCTTTAATGACTTATTTGCAAGACACTATTTTGCTGATCAACTCCTGTTTTCATGGCCACCGGTATATACCCACTGCTCTAAACTTACTTAGTTCTCCAATTATTATTTTTTGTTATTTTTATATTGTCATATTTTATTAAGTTTTCAACATTTTAATACAACACAGAAAACAAAGAGCAGTCTGAGCACATATTTGAGTTTTCCTCATTACATAAATATTACCCAATTAAGCAAGACACACCGACCTGGTCAAACATCTCTCTGTATAGTGACACTGAGATCACAGGCCGCCACAACTCCATAAAGAGATCTAGTTTTATTTTCTTAATCTGTGATACGCGTAGAATTCGGCAGCATAGCATAGTCATTTTGGTAAAAAAGAAAAAAAATCTGCAGCTGGAGAGGGTCATGTGGAGCGATCCATCGGAGGTGCCGACAGCACCCACTGGGCACCACATGCCAGCTGACTTATTTCTTTTATTAAGTTGTCTTAGATGAATGTTGCTATTTAAAATGTCCAAATTATAACATGATGATCCAAGGGTGTCATCAGTGTTAATTATATAGCAGACACAAGCACAATACGTTCTTTAAATGCACTTGAATTTTTTGAAACATGCTCAAATCATGTTAAGTACAACTCTGAGTGAGTGTATAAAGACGGGAAATCATTTAAACATGTGCACAGCTCATGTGAGGCTATTTTGCATAATGTCTCAGTTCATACGACTGCTAAATGCCATCTTGATTTTTCATAATTTGCTTTAACATATTTGGAAGCAAACATCTCTGTTAATTTGTTTGCACTGAGAAAATTACACCAATCATCTTGTCTAATGATTGACACAATATACTCATCATTTATAATGTAGGGGCCTGCTGCGTTGGTGCATGGCATGACTCCTGCACGCTGCTTCTGAAAGGCAAAAGTGTAGAAGAAACTTTTTAATTGTAGAACTCCATTTAAATTCATTGACGTCCCACTCACTTACCATCCCCACCCACCTCTCCTAATCACAGCAGTTAAATGCAATATTTTATCTATCAACCCTCTTCTTTGGGAGTCGCTCCATCCAAAATTGACAGCGTCCGTCTGGTAGTGTTGAGAGAGGTTTTATCATTACTATTTCAGTCACAGCCTCTGCTTTCTCAACTAGTGCCAGTGCGGATGATCAGCTTGTACTTAGTTATGCCATCCCCCAGATAGCTAACTACTGAGAAGAGCTGGTGCCAAAGAGTAGGTCTGTGCACAGTGCTTTTTAATATACTCCTGAATGAGTGCCAGTAGCTCTCCCCTTCCCTCGTGATGGCCATGGAAATAGGGCGGCCCGCTGTCCTCACCCGACACCAGAACAAGCAGCAGACGCAGGCTAGAATGCAAAAGATGTCGAAGGGGAAAAAAAGGCTTGAAATTAATCCAGCGGAATTCACAGTCTCGCTCTCTCAAAGTCCGAGTCAGCAAGTTACCTGACATGACACTGGCCCTCATCCTGTATTCAAGGGATTTTTTTTTTTAGCATATAGGGTAAATGCGTTGTAAGCAAGCCTCTTTGTGTTCGCTTCTGTCTGTTTTGTGCGTGGATATATTGTATGTAAATAATGAATAAGGAATAGAAAGGAAAAGGAAAGGGCTTTCAAACTTTTCACACCAAATACCAAAGAAAACATTTGGCATTTAGAGGACCGGCAGATCTAAATCAAGTATATAACAGGACTATTCCATGTTTAATCTAGGCCTAAACCAGGTCTAAATGTGGACTGCAAATTAATAAATAAATGAATGAATTAGGAAAGCCCACATACTGAAGAGCTAGTTGTCCAAGTACCACCTGAAGGAGCACTACAGTCAGTTGCATGTACTGTATGTCGCTGAGTATTTTTCAACTCGTGCCATAAGGGGTCAGTAAAGAGAAGAAATTGCTAGTCTATATTCAAACATTATAGCTGTACACATATGACTATGACGTGACTGCTGTTTTATAATATTTTAGCCTTTCCAACCAGCACCAAACACACAGACACACTAACAAAATCCAAAAGTATTTTCCCCCAAGAATACAATAATGAGAGTAGTTTAAGACCACCAGACTAATGGTTGTATTTGAAGTCAGCTCTACTTCTTTTACTGACACTTGATTGTAAAACTATGCTAATTATTTCCCATAGGTATTATCCCACGCTAACTCACCTGAAGTAATAATTACAACATAAACACAACATGTGCACGGTCTGCCATATGCACTCCCAATACAATTCCCTGGACCATTGCTTTTATACTTTTATATCATTATGTCTTATTGGACACCAGTCTCTTGCCATTTTTGCTATTTAGAATTTATGATTACCATTTATTTTGTTGCTCTTTGTTCTTATAATGTACTAATTAGAAGACTTACGGATTCCAAGTGTAGCCAACGATACCTTCAGAAGTTGTCATTGGCTACACTTTCCCGTGATGTCATGTGACTTGTGGTGTCATGTGACCTATGTCATGTGACCCGTGGTGTCATGTGACCTATGGTGTCATCTAATCTGTGATGTTATGTGACCTGTGATGTCACCTGTCCCTATCATGTGACCCATGTCTGTTATTCCAAAAGTTTAAAATATACCCCTCATTTTACCATATATTTAGCATTTTTTGCCCTAACTACATGAAACTTGGCACTGCACACACCCGTACCATTAGGACAACACCCTCCGAATTTGAGATCGGTCGGATGAGTGGTTCAAGAGTTATGCGCGGATAAACAAACAAACAGAGACACAGACAGACGCTCCTTGAATGCATAGATAGATTGTGATGTGTCAGCTACTGTCCAAACGATTTCCTTGAGGATCAATAAAGTTCAAGTCTAAGTCTTCTTAGTTGTATATAAATGAACAATATCTTCCTTTTCTGACCACCACAGAAACAGACATCTGAGGGAACTCACATACAATTCATTTCAATGGAGAGGAGCAGGTCTTGCAGCTACTGTTCAGCAACTATGAGAGCAGAGAGTGAACGCAGACTTTGGGCTCTATTATGCCAAATACAGACAAAGACATGGAAGATGAAGAAAGTAGTCCAAGTACAACTGCTGAGTGCTACATCCTACTGCAGTATTACCCTGTTGTATTTTAGCACTAATCAGTAAAAAGAGAGAAAGCTGTCTCTCTTGCATACCAACTGTGTCTAATGATTTATGGGAAATTCTCAATGTGTAACAGTCTAAATTTAAGCTAAAGAATCTCCAATACATCAGATTTCAACTCACAACAATTCTCCACTCTCACCACTAGTCACCCTACATAACTCCAGTCATCCCTCTCAGTTTGAATTTCATTATTGCTTTTATATGCCCAACCATGAAGATTTCAATAACCCAATTAAGCTCCCAAATCAAAACCATTGTGGATGACAGGGAGCACTGCCACTGCGTCATCTGCTAATTAGCTCGGGCACAGTTGTCGAATTTGTAACCCGCGATAACGCCAATGATTCAAGCACTATTTCAATCAGAGACCAGCAGTGAGTGTGAATAGTTAGATTATGCACACGCACGCTTTGATTTTTGGACTTCCCCTAACCCTCTGATACTATTTGGGATCAAGAGTATCGGGGAAATGAATAGTGACAGTCCCGGGAGAGAGGGCGGCCAAGGCAGATCGCATTTATAAACGCGAGGATCAGATTTCACAAAACACTTCTCCGATTTGAGCTCAGAACTCATAAAGCAGTTCTTTTCCCAAAATGGAGCCAGTGCCACTCCAGCTTAACCTCAGTTAGTCCGGGGTTATATGGCTGTCTGTGAGGAAGCAGCGGGGTTTATTGTTCACTAATGCGCCACAAAATATGCAGTAAAAATGTTTAAAATGCCATTTTATTTGTTGTGACATTTAAGCATTTTCAACCATGCATTGTTTTGTTTGTGGTGTCTTTATGTAAACAAATACAAAAATATATTTTTCTCATAGGAAAAAAAAGTGACCTAATGAATTATCAAGTTAGATTTGGTAAATGGTAACGGCACATAACACAAGAGCCCATATATCACCACTAGATGCTATCTACATTTGTGATGTTTGATAGCGTGCCAGTTTTGACCTGACAGAAGAAGACCAGAGAGCACAGGTGAGGAGAGGGGAACAGGTTTCACATCTGCCATCTACTTGTGAAAAAAAAATCTAATATTTGTGCAGATGGCAGCTTTAAGACTTGGAGATTCTGTATTTTGTAAGTTATGTTGAAGGACCTAGTTGAATTGAATTACTCTTTGGATGTAGTAGATGAAAAAAATACATTTGTGCTTATAATTATCAACATTTAAAATAGGTTTAAAAGATCATTCACTTTAAAGGTGCACAGATTATGGAAGGAATGTTTGTCTGGTTTTGTCTCCATGAAGATAGAATTAATACCATACAGTGAAACATTCAAGACATTCCTGTCTGAAGAAGGGCTTGACCTGAAACATCACATTGTGGTGTCATTGAAAAAAAAATTGGGAGCTTCAAAGAACTGCATTGTGGATCTCTTTCTTCTTCTGCACTTTCCAAAAGCAAGAACATCTCCATGGAGAAAACATTTTCGAACAAAGGATTTGGACCATCCACCATAAAAGTTACACAATGCACCTTTAAACATAGATAACTGTAAAGATAGGGGAAAAACAATTACACCGCTTTGTGGAGGCATCACTAATTGGGACACGTCACTGAGCTGCATTTCCAAGCTATCATATTTTTCTGAACACCACTGTACCATTATGACCACATTCAGTCTATAATAACATATTGTCACAGAGCGGACAGGGTCCCTCACCTCCTCACAGACTCCATATCAGCGGCGTTGTCCTCTTGTAGATGCCTGTAGCTGGTCCCTGTCACCCTCGCACCCTCCATCAGCCCGCTCGATAGTTTGTGCCTCCCTCTCGGTACAGGTGGGGTGCTGAAGTCACTGCTCTCTTTGCGCTGCTGGGCCGGACTCAGAGACAAAGAGCTGCTCCTACAAATGACAAACAAAACAACGAAAGAAAAAACAAAATGGCGTCAGGGGAAGAGCGTCTCCGCTGTTTCATGAGCTCACCTTTATCTCATTGACCTTTCATTACCGATTCTAATCAATGTTTAATTTGCTTCCTGTAGTGGTAAGTAACCTTGTAGCGCTTTGTAAGCAAGAGGGAGTCAAACAACAGTAATGGAAAATGTAAGAGGCAACCATTTGTTTTTTTTACCAATGGGAATTGTCTGTGCAAACTCTTGTGTGACACGATTCACAAAATACGTTATCGACCAGTGGCATTGAATGTATGGTACCCTGACAGGTGACACTTATAGTAACTGGTAATTGTTCTTCTTACTAGGCTTCAGTTCAGAGTGTTACTTACAACTTGGGATGCACTGATTCAGCTTTTTCAGCTCCGATAACGATTTAAAAAAAAGATTAAGTTCAAGTTTTTAGGTCAAGTTCAAGTTCAAGCATTATGAGATTTTCTGGGCCAACTACAGCCAGAAAATAGTCTTATTGCATCACATTATACTGTATGTAAAGACAGGATATTGACTGAAACGATATTTGGAAGCCGATATCCGATCCAGCAAATTCTTCAGTATCCGCGCCGAGATCTGATACCAGCATTGGATCGGTGCAACACCAATTTACAATTACAATTTTACCCTAAAGCTTTAGTTGATAAAGTCATTTGTACAGAGGGAACATAATACTGCATCTTGGAGTATTGTATGCTAAATCTTAAAGAAGCTTTATGTAACTTGTAACCAGTATCTTGTTTCCATGGAAATGTTATTGCTTTTTCTGGAATGTTCCTCTTTACCAATTACATGTGTTTTACTGCTAAAAGACACCTCCACAGATCTGACCTGATCTTTACTAGCAGTTTTTGGTTTGACAAGTTATTCTGAATAAAAGTCCTCACAGTTTTTGAATCAATTGCGTTGGTGTTTAAAATTATGGTGGCACTTGTTAAACCTGTTGATATAACTTTATCTACAACTTCAGTAATCAAAGAAAAATACCCTGAATCAAGCCCGGACCCTGTCATTTCAAAGTGATTTCACATTGGTGGTGTATTGTGGCTAAGCTGTGCCGAAGGCGTGGTCATATTAATATTCCATTCCAGTCCTCTGCTTCACTGTTACACAAGGGACCTATTTTACGCGGCCTTGTGAAAATAAGCATTTTATGGACGCCCCGCTGCCGTTAATGATCAGACGCCTGCCTCCTGCCACCGCACACTGTTTTAAAATTGCTCTGTGGACAGTAGGTGTCTGCTTCAAAGCACAGCCCTGCATGAACACTACCAATAAAGCCAGCTCTTCAAACGCAGATCAGGTACGCTGCAACTAATGTGTCACAAAAGTACCTCAAAGCACATTTAGGAGAGGTAAAAGCGGTTTTTATCTGGTATTTGGGTGTCATGGGTTTCAGTAATTAGCACTTTCTCTAGTATATGGGAGCAATAGGTCACCTGATTGGATGTTGAATAGTGAATACTAAAAAACGCTCTACAATACATCTTCACTGTGTTATTAGCCATAGGTGAAAATTAAGCAAATGGATGTGCAAGCTTTTGTGCTTTGTCGCTTAATTGTTGTATTCAGTCAGACAGCTAAATTAGATAAAGAGTGGTCTATGGGAATGCGTTTTAAGAGTGTGTATATTTTTACACTTAATACTACCCAGGTCACCGCAGGTACCACCGCGCAAAGAGCTCAGACAATTCATTTTAAGATCAATAACAACAAGTTCAATTCAATTTTACAGTACATTACCCAACTATAACAAAACTGAGGAAATTGCTATTAAAAGTGGTTGTTAAGCATGCAAGTTGACAGTAATGAGAAATTTCAAGCCAAATTTAGCTTTAAACCTTGAGCTGCTCTGTTGGTACTCATGAAAAAGTGTGGACCACAAACTGTATATATAAATGGACATAGGTAACGTGCTAGCCGCCATGTTCCAAATAGGAAGTGAGCATGGTTGCGTTTCCGGCTCCATCGACTCCAACTGACTTAGGTTTTGGCATTATAAGTACTTCTTACTTCAGCCTAAACCCTTTTGGTCATGATCCATGGGGTTGTAGTCTATGTTTTGTGATTGAATAAACTATTACTACTACTACTAAACTGAAAAATGGTCATCCCTCTCACTGTAACTGCTGCAGTGATCCTCGTCATTTTGGTATTACAATGCTCATTTGAACCCGTGCTACATGATCCTGGTGTTTTTTATTTTGCTACTTTGTCCGTAAATAAATTCTTATTCCTAGTATGGAACTCTGCTCCAAATTTACTCCTATGCTAACTGCTCAATGAGCTTCATTTGACTAGAGCCGAACGCTATGGGTGACATCACACTCCTTTGGTCTACTTTTTTAGACAGTCTATGGTGTAGACACCATAGACACCATAGACTGATTCATCAACTGGTTTCACTTTTTGGAAACTGTCTGACCTCGCAGCATTAGGATTTCTTTGCTCAACAGTAGGCGGGTACTTTAAAAAAAAAACAATTACCAATTGCTGCTGTTTGGTCAATGTGTATGTAATGAGCCAGAATGCTCAGTGGTGTCCAAGTAAGTGTGGGTTTCACAGCTCTTCACTGATTGTCCAGTGCATGGTCTACAATTTCCGGGGTTCTTGCAAAACATCAGGTACATTCCGATTCCTGACCTTGTTGCTGGAGAGAAATGAAATTGAGCGGAGGTCCCAGTCTGGCTAGTAGACATACCCCTGTACTACATAAATATAACATAATAGTTTCATCAACTCTAATCCATTCCTGCTTTTTCAAAGGTCAAAGTATGTTATGTTTACCATAGAAAAGCAAGACCATGCCATATCTGTTGTGGAAAAGGCACATGCTATTCTCAAAATAGTTTTGAAAGCTTTATTATTTCCGAGTCAATGCCTAATATGAAAACATGACATCAATTAAACACATTTTAATGCAGTTAGCAGACAGAAGAGACATTTTGCAGTGAACTAATGTGTGTGGCAGTTGAACAATAAGCATGGCTAATGTGGACTGTACCGTTTGGCAGTGTTAGCTTGTGCAACGTCTGATGTGAATTTAAATACAGCAGAAGTGTGCACTGTTAGCTGCTCCTGGAGCTGGAAACAAATTAAACGGTTTCACATATTTTGGAAAAGGTAGTAAATAGCAGCAGGTTAGGCTAGAGGTGCTATTGATTTTTGCCAACTTCACATTGTGTAGTCAGTGCACATATCTGGACATTGGGGCATTCAGCACCATAATAGATTTATTAAACAGCTTTCCATGGCTCTTTTTCAAAGACTTGTAACAGGCAAAGATGATTATTAACCTAAGAAATGAAAGCGCCAAATCACCTTCAAAAAGAGTGACTTTGTTTACATAACTCGATCCAATATGGCGGCAGATCATGTAAAAAAAAAAAATAAATAAATATATATATATATATATATATATATATATATATATATATATATATATATATATATATATATATATGTGTATATAAAAAATACATATTGGTATTCAGTGTTATCTCAGTCCATCAGGAATGTGCTAAAGCTTGCATATAGCCGAAAAGTCTTGGTTGGGTATCACACACAAAGTGAATGGACTGTAAAACTGAGCACAGAAGGGCAGAAAATATTACTTTACATTTATTTAAAAGATTACACTGCAAGTTTGTTATTTACATTTTTAATCAGCTGTTTTTGCAGCCTTTTATTGCAGAGGACAGACTTTATATTCAAATTTTGTAGCCTTCTGCAAATCGAAACATTATCTCTCACTTTTAGGCTAGTCCAACGAGGTTCATTTGGTCTTCCGATCATTTATTTTGATAGATTCTTTTTTTGCCCAAACCTGTTTAAATCAGCTAAACAGACACATCACAGCAACAAACTAAACCTTTGTCTGAAAAAAATAATCTATTAAAATGTTTACATCTAGGCTAGACTGTTCATCATCCTCAAGTCTGGCCATAAAAGCTACAAATAAATGCCAATGATATGATATTTTTACATATACTTGGATCCTAAAAAGAAGAGTTAAAATAAGTAAAAAAAAAAGTCAAGGCTCTATTCACGCTTACATCACAAAACCGGAAGACGTTTGAAAACATGCGAATCACTTGGACTCTTGACGATGGGGCGGGTGGTTTTCTTCATCTAGATGTCATTGTGTTCTTTCTTTTTCCCTTTTATAAATTGCCTATTCATTTATGTATTGTAATTTGTCAAAAAGATGTCATAGCATTTCGTTATGTTCGGCTGATCATAAGTGACATCGAAGGTGCGATTAGAGTCACATCCTCTTTTGACAGGTTGAAGACGCTGCTGCTGAATCCATTTTTTTTTTTTTTCGCATACCCAGTGTCGGTAACTGCACTGGAAGTCATCATCTAAATGTTTCCAAACGTCTTCTTGTAAGTGTGAATAGAGCCTACTGAACATAAATAGCCTAAGTGAATTCAGTGCTTGATCTTATTGCTTCAAACCCACTTCCTATTACCTATTACCACGATGATTTTCTCTAGAGAATAGCGTATGTAACCTGTGTCATCATGTGTCATCCTTTTACTATCTAAACACATTAAAAGGCCATCTTTCCTTGTAAAATGCCATGCTAGTCAGTGTTAGCATATTGATTTGCCCTCACAACACCAATTTCCTCATAATTCAGTCACGGCGAGATTGATCTGACTACACAACGCACACGCAAATGAAAACAATGATTGACTATGGGTTTTCAGATCATTGCGCACTATATGAACGCAGCCTATTCATTCAAAATCAACATCACAGGCCACACTAGCATGCTAATGATGAAATGATAAATTGCCGAACAAGCAGGCGATCATACCTAGCTAACCTTCGGAGGTAATATTGACAGATGGTATTGACATGGGTTTTACTGGACAGTTCGCAGCTCGGAGAATTGTGGTTTTGCAGGGTCAATGGTTAGAGCTTGTCATCCATCATAATCTGGTCGCCCACTTCCTGCTAACCGACTCCCGCCCGAGCGAGACGTTTGATTGACAGCGGGTGACACTGACCAGGGGGAAATGCCAGGTCTAGTTGACGTGAGGAAAGTAGGTGGTATCACTGGAGTGTATAAGATTGAGGAAATAGGCTCTCAGATGGCGGATAAGGACTGATACCAAAATAGAAATAGGTTGGGGTCACATGACATCATTCGAAACTGTTCATAGTTTTGAATTGAGGTGGAAGGTCGTGTTAATATTACTGGACCTATTCAGATGAACTAAAAACTGTCAGAAAGTTTAAAGGGCCCAGGCTGTGCTATTTTATGGTCTGTTATAATGTTGTTTCCTCATCCAAAGTATATCCGGAGTTGTGTTTTGTTTCATTCACACATGTTTAACACAAAAATCCTTCATATTTAGGCTGAGTTCTTTTCCATCTTTTGATGTCATGTTGTAATACAAGAAGAGCTCCGTACACCTTCACTAGAATCATTTGGATGAGTTCAGCCCTGGAATTGCAAATAAACTAAAGGTAAAAGGTAGCTGTCAACTTGAAAACTACAGCTTCATGACATCAGAAAGTGGAACAAAGCATTTTGAGGTTGGAGATGTACAGACTAATAATAAAGGGTTACTCAGACATGTGTGAATGAAACAATTGTACTATGTCTGACCCATGGATCTATTAAAATAACTGGATAGGGTATTGCTGCTTGTAGCTTCCTCCAGTTGACACAGTGGTCACTCACTGGAACTTCAGCGGAAAAAATCCCATGGGCTAAGAGAGGATTTTTCTCATAGAGCGCAATGTAATCACAAACTGCTCGTGTCCGGCTGACTGGGCACCTACAACTTTCAAAAATGTTGGATTTTGTGGCAATTTTGACCTTTTTCACAGCTCAAAATCTTTCAGTTGTCTTGAAAAAACACTTTAAAATTGTTAGCTCCGGCTCCGCTCTAACTCCTCTCACTCTGATTGGTCAAAGCAATCATGTGCTCCGTGCGTTTGGTCACGTGCATTCACGTGTGCACGCGGGCGAAAAGAGCACTACTGCGCATGCTCGATCTGCCCACAGCCACTGGAAGTACCTTGCCAGGCTAAAGGCTCATCTGGAGTCAGGCACCATTGGGCTCGGCCCATTGACTTGGTCTGGATCTAAACCTTAACTAAATTATAAGGTTCAACATTTTCTTGATTATTATTATTACTATTATTTTCAAAATATACAAAACACTCTATGAGGGCCCTTCCCACAGAGACAATGACATCTTATTTCAATTCAAAGGGTAGTCTGGGGTTTTGCACAGAGGTTCATGACATTTATCGTCACAATGGAACTTTTTACCTCCGATCCATAGTCTGTACACTAAATGGACATGGCTAACCTGTTATCTGTTACGTTCCAAATAGGAAGTGTTTATGAGGGCGTTTCCAGCTCTATTGACTGTGGCTCCTTGTAACTGCTGCAGAGAGCCACGTCATTTTGATCTGCATTAACCCGCTCTACATGATCCAGGTGCTTTTATTTAACATAAATAAAATCCTATTCATAATATGGAAGTTTGCTCCAAGTGAACATTATGTTACTTCTTTATACAGTGTCTGTACCGACCATACTTTTTGATTGATGAGCTGCTAGTTAAAAATACAGGTTGTCTTTTTACCATGAATGCAGTGTGCTTTTATGAGTTGAGTGAAGCGCGCTCTCTGTTTTGATCCCACACCTGATTCTGAATTGTGCAGGTGGCTCAGACGCACTCAGACTCAATGCAAAGTAAAATGTCTTTTCATCTGTAGATTACATTACACAGAGCAGCCAAAGCACGCCACAGCAAATAGATTGAATTAAGGCAGAGAGAAGCCAGCACTCACAGCAAATCAAGCTCTTCTGTAAACAGGAGATATTATAGACGGCCAGTCAGAGCTATTTGTTTTCTGTTTTGGAGCCAATAGTTGGTCAAATCAAACAGTTAAATTTGTCACAATACGTGTTTGAGCAAGCGTGAGAGTTTACACAAGCCAGACTATTACTCAAAACCAGACATTGTGATATACTTTTGTATTTGGCAAGCAACTCTGCAGGGGTGTGGTGCACTCAGGTAATGAAATTGTGTCTGAAGCCAAAACTGTAATTTTAATCAAATGACTTTTTCTGAACAATTTTCTCGCTTCACAAGTGTCAAATAGAGTTTATATGCGCAGGAATGAACTCAGTTAAACCTGTATTTCTGGGAAGACAAGATGAGACATAACAGAGGAATCAGCAGCTCAGATACATGGACACAGCTCACAGATAAGACATGGGCATGGTCACTGTAGTGGTCAGGAGATTCATGGGTAAAGATGAGAGCTGTACATATTTCTTTCATCCTGAGGGAAAAGTAATTATGAGGAATTTTGCACTACTAACTTACATTTGAAAAGAAACCAGACATATATTTTTTCTGAGGTGGATCAAAACATTCTGCAGACTCAAGATTTTGCTTATACTGTATGACTGTGAGAAAATGCCACGGATGCTAACAAAGTGTATTGATTTTGTGGACTAGTCGGGCTCCTGTAGAATATAGATTGGATTTCTACACAGTTGGGTGTATATACATAACACTTTACTTTTCTATACTACATTATTAAATGTCAGAAATCCCTGCATCTTGCCATAGAAACCTCACTAGATCATGTTTTCAGTGTTTTAAATCTATGTATCACAAACCAACACAATATTAAGAAAAGCTAAGGTAACATTAACTAATAACTACACTCTTAATAGCCTTAAGAAAGCTTGAACAAAGACTCATAATGAGCAAATAGTTCATTAAGAACTATTCAGGCCCCTAACTCTTACTAGTTACTCAAAATGAATCATTTTAATGAACTTGTGTTCATTATAAAACAGTAATTATGACTTTAATTTCAAATTTAACATTGGTAATTGGTAATAACTTTAGTCCTATTGATGATCCATTGATTTGATTTGATGAGTTTTTGTGACAATTATCCAATCAGAAAGCAGAATGAGCCTCACATGAGTGTCTCATTTCATTCAGTGATGAAATCCACTTGGTTAAAACCTGAAATGACTCTCTTGGATCTGAATCATCACTATTTAAACCTGCAGCCAATCAATGATCAGTCTCTGTGTGAATTCTCAAGGTTCTGAGCTTTCACATGAACCGGCCTACTGAGAAAAACCTCTATGTGTCTTTTATATGTAGGTTTAAGCACTGGCAGCTGAGGTTGAGGAGTGATGGTAATACCCATTTTAAAACAGCAAGAGTGCAGGCTACATGCAGTTCCTTTAAGGCTAATTAAGATGTAATACTTATAAAGTCTTACCTAAAACCTTATGCCACATTAATAACCTATACGTTCTTTCCTTTCCATACCATTACACTGCTATATTAATGTTCCAGTCTTACCTGAAGTGTTTGCCTTTGGACAGGGCTCTGCTGAGGAGAGCTGGAGGAGATGCCCCTGTGTCCCCGGCCTTCACGCTGGCTCCATGCACACTGGGCTGAAACACAGATGTAATGGGATATTAGAGCACTCTATAGGGGACCTGTTTCTGGGCTAAGTCAATTCAGTCCCTTCAGTACAGCTTCAATTCACAGTCACAGCAAAAGAAGAAGAAGAGGAAGAAGTGAGCAGTTATGTAATGTGATAGGACAGGGCAGAGCAGCAGGGGTCTACACATGCACAGGTACTCTTCTGAATGGGCCTTAACTTATAATTAACATTTAAACTACCTCTACTGAACTGACTAGATTCTGTTGAGATGTCACTGCTGATTTATGAAGAAGTGAGTGAGGTAAGCTTCTTGAAGGTGCACTGTCTAACTTTTCTCCATGGAAATGTTCTTACTTTTTATGCAGTTCTCCACAGTATAGCATTAAATCTATCTCCATGGAGACAAGCGGTTGATGCCACCAGTTCAAGTTATAGTTTGGATGTTTGGAACGGTGACCCTACTCACAGTAAGAATACATGTTTTTCAAGATATTTGTACCACTCAAGCTGAAAATGTAATTAATGATAAGACAGTAGCTCAGTTGACAGTGTTTATCCGCTGATCTGAAGGTTGGCAGTTTGATTCCCGCTCAAAATTGCCATAAAACATCAGATCCATTCACCCACAGGTTGCTGGTGCGCTTACACCAGTGTCCGCAAGCACTAGTGTATGAATGTGTGTGTACGTGGGTGGTTCCTTGATGTAAAGCGCTTCGAGTGCCTTGAAAGTAGAAAAACGCTATATAACTGTGACCATTTACCATTTAGATAGAGAGGTGAGAGCTATAATATGGATGTATTTCAAGTGATTCATTTTCAAACCAGGCTATACATACTCAATGTCAGAAAAGTGAACGCAGTCTAATAAAAATAGAAAAAAACATTTTGGTCAAGTTTGACTGAAACTCAAAAGCACTATCTGATAAAACTTATAAAAAACTAAAAATAACAAGAATGAGTCTAAATTTAAAACGCTAACTAACGCTGTACTGGTTAAATAAGGCTATCAGAATGAATAAATAATAACTACAAGCAGGGTCCAGTGTGTAGTTAATGTAGTAAGAGTATACAGCAGATATCTAAAGAACCACAGGGGCCCTCTCTCAGGTCTCTTCTCATTGCTAGTGCCTTAATTACACTTTACATTTTAAACTGCAGATTAGGAGGAGGCGCTTTGGCCCTCGCCGCTCTCCTGCTGCGCTCACAGAATTAATCCCACATGAGATTACATTAAGCAGCCCCCCACCCCTTTCATTTCTCCCCTTTTGTTCTTATCGGAATCACCAGCATTATCTTTGAGAGGTTTGACTACAGTGGACCCCCGAGTCATGCCATTATTCTGTTTCATTTTCAATCTCGTTTTCTTAAATTTCACACAAAACCCCCACTTTACATTACCCCTGAATTATACAGGCTAGTCCAGTAGAAGTAGTAGTGTAGTAAGGTATAATCAGCTGCCAGTATATCCCATGTATCTACCGGAAGTTACTTATTTCTTTTGATTTCTGTCAGCGCATTTCAGTTGTCATTTGAGGTTGATCTTACGACACAGCAGTAGTAGCGATGGTTCAGCAGCATTCATTCACAAACCAAAAGCGCAGTAGCTCAATACTCAGTGCAGTCTGATGTTGTGTCCTTAGGCAAGATACTTCACCCAACTTGTCTTATTATGCAGCCTACTTCTGTTAACACTTTGCCTAAAATATTCCACAATATGGCATTAAACTTAGATAACCCCAAGAGGTCAATTTACTAGGGATGTAACAATAACTGAAATATTGTAATATCGTCAGAGTTCTCACAATAATATCGTGGACCATCACAATATATCGAATTACAAGTTACTTTGCTTAAATTAAGAGTTTTGGTGCAGCAATAGCTAAAAAAAGTCAGAGAGAACTACATAGACCATGATCCTTTGCTCCATTGCGGTGTAGACTATGACGAAATAACAGGTCTAAACACTTTTAAATTTTAGTTCTTTGGATTAAGTCTTGTCAAGGCATTTTAAGAGGAAAAAGTAGCATTTTCACAGTTTTGTTAGACTCCACAAAATATCGCAGTAAATATAATACCGTGAGATGTATATAGTGAAAATATTGTACGGAGAGATTTGGATATTGTTACATCCCTACAAGTTACTGTTCAAGGCTCAGCACTTTTGTCCTTACAGTACAGTAAACATTTCTCTCTCCATGGAAACAACCACGTAACACCAACAAGCCAAAGTAAAGATCAGATCTGTGGAGAGGCTATCCAGCTCACAGTAAGAATGCTTGTTTTTCAGGGTTTTATTTTAATAGCAATAACATTTATTTGTAATTTAAAGGTCCTTGACTTTTGAGAGCTTTAAGCCATGCAAGAATGCTGTTGTTACCTCCTCAAAAACATTCCTGGAGTTGTGTTTTGTTTCAATCACACATGTCTGAGTAACCCTGGATTATTAGTCTGTCTACTTCTCCAAATATCAAAATGCTCTGTTGCACCTTCTGATGTCATAAAGTGTCAGTTTTCAATTCAACAGCTAACTTTTACCTTTTGTGTGAATGAAACGAAACACAACTCCAGGTTGTTTGTGATGAGGAAACAACATTATAACATAGATCAGAAAACAGCATAATATGGATACTTTAATAAATAAAGATAGATAGATTTAATGCCGTAATGTGGAGTATTCCAGGCAATGTAATCAGGTCTCAGGAGACAAACCCCTCACCAGAGCAGTTACATAATAATACCATTTTAACTACACATTTAAAGTACTTCTTCCACCTCTCTCCTTTATGCAAATAAGTCACACGTTTATTGAATTTATTATCCGAACAGCTGTAGGAACTAATTATCTTTGACGATTTTCCCCGGCCCTGTAGTTACGCCATTATCCACCCTTTTCCCTGTACTGGCTTCCTTAAACTTCACACAGTTCCACGTGACTGTACATTGGGGTTTTCTGTGACGATAAGCCTGTTTTTCCTGGTTCCCTCTCCTCTCCTCCTCTCCTTCTCTCCTTCTCTTCTTCCTCTTCTCTCCCAGAGGGCCCTGTTACCGCTCTTCACTAGTCGTGCAAGAAAAAGCTACAGCGTTTTGGCCACCCGCTCCCATACCCCACGGTGCACCATTCCTCACTCTCTGGAACAGTGGCTACAGCAAACTTTCCCCACACGATCATAGCGGTGTCAGAATAAATAATAAATACACTCAAACAGACAATAGCAAGATGCAGTTTACGAGTGGTCCACAACTGTCACACTGTACGTGGTCTACTGTTTACTGTCTACTGTCCTGGTGTTGTCCTGGTTTAATCTGTAGTTCCTGTATATACCAGCAGTTAAAGGGCCCATTTTGTAATGCTGTTTTTCATTCAAAACAAACCTGGAGTTGTGTTTCGTTTCATTCACACGTTTAATACGTAAACTCTGCATATTTAAGGCAATTTATTCTCTCAAACATAAAATACTCTGTTATAACTTGTGATGTCATTCATGCAGTAATACAGGAAGTGCAGCCCTGGAATCTTTACTGAACTAAATGTTAAAGGAGCTGTTAACATGAAAAATATCACTACATGACATCACAAGGTGGAACAGAGCATTTTGAGCTTTGGAGATGTGGATTATTAGCCAGACTGGTGACATCTTGTGCCTACGCTCAATTTAATTTATCACCAGCGATTAGGTCAGGAATCGGAATACACTAGATGGCTTGCAAGAACCCCGGAATTTGTAGACTGCCCACCGGCCAATCAGTGAAGATCTGTGAAGCCATAACGTCAAATCAAGCTCCTGTCTGGATCCCTTTTTTGGTCCAGCACAATAGTAAACAAAGCGGTCAAGATAGATGTAGACAAAGCCATACATTCTGTGTTGGCAACGATTCCCGAGATCGAGGATTTAAAGCCAGAATAAAGAGAATCTTTGGTGAATTTTATCAAGGGGAAATACGTTATTGTCCTTCTTCCTACAGGATTTGGGAAAAGCTAATATAATATACCAGGTATTCCCGTAAGCGGTGCATTACATACGTCACAACCAAATAACAGCGATTGGTTAAATAAAAAAAGTACCTGAATACCGTTGAGCGAATAAATCCGTTAAAGCTGCGAGGTCAGACGGGTTCTACGAAGTGAAACCGGCTGATGAATCAGACTAGTGGATTAGAGGTTTACTCAGACATGTGTGAATGAAACAAAACACAACTATAGGTATGTTTTTGAGGAGGTAATGACATTCTAACATGGCTGAAAGCTCACAAGAGTCAATTTAGCACAAAATAGGAGCTTTAAAATGCTACACATGTTGTTAAAACACACAAGATTTTTGTTCCACGTTTAGTTTATAATTTGAGTTCCTAGTTGGACATGATCAGCAGATATGCCATATTAGAGGTAATTCCATAACTGTTACCAACCAATGTTAAGAAGGGCCAAAAAGTGTCTAAATTACACAGTAGTTATGATTACACTAATAAAAATATAAGTTACAACACATTTTGATAAATGGATGTTTAAACAGCTTGTAGTATTCCATTTTAGTAGTCAGCTCTACTTCCTGGATTTTATACTTTTCTTCTCAACTTTTTTTCCCATATATTACCACAAACTTAACCAACATAACTATAATAAATATTCAGATACTATCCCACCAAAAGTAATAATTAGAAAAACATAAAAACCTGTCACATGCACTTTAAACACTGCTATCTTATTCAGCACATTCATGGTTTAGTTGTTTTAGCTTTTGAATCCCTCTTTAGTTTTGCTACATTAGTCCAGGATTAGACCAAGTTTAGTTCTGGTTTAGTCCCATGCAGTTAGTTCTAGTGATTGCTTAATCCTACTTTATCCCTATAATTCTTGCATAGTGCTGGTTCACTGTTTTCGGAAACTATTAATCCTGGTTTGGTTGAAGCTCAGTGGTTTGATCCCACCAGTGCAAGTTGTTCTGTCCTTGGGCAAAACACTAAGGAATGTGGGTGTGGGAATGAGTGAACTGTAGCAGCTGGAGAGGGCAGGAGGGAGCACTACCTGCATTTTTACTCTTAAAAAGTGAAAAACAGAACTTTCCACTTAGCATTCTAATTATTCATTGTGATGAGTGTATTTATTTAGTAAAGGACATTTCACAACTTTCAGAGGTCAGAGTGGAGTTTTACCACCAAGCTACTTTGTAACTTTCTGATTCATAGCCAAAAAAATGAAAATACTTCATTCTAAATGCTTTTATAGTAAATCTATATTTAGCCAAAACACATTTAACTTTAATTACATTTAATACATTTGGGTAACGTCCCTCTACTCTATTTCAAGTCATTTTATACGGTACATGTTTAGTCCTGGGTTAATGGTGATTTAATCAGTGATCAAACGTAACAAAGTAAAGTAGTAAAGTACATTTTTTTTTCGTATCTGTACTTTCCGTAAGTAGATTTGAATGTGCATACTTTTTACTTTTACTCCACTACATCTGAGAGCAGATATATGTACTTTCTACTCCACTACATTTCTGAACAGGACTGAAATTTAATAGTATAAGTATTTTTTTTTATTATTCTAAGACCCGATGAAATGGCTAGAGTTTTATTTTTACCACTTTCATAATTTGAGCAGCTAGAATAAAAAGATCGATTCAGTTGTTTCTGTTGAACAAAATCGTTCTACTACATTTGAAGCTTTATTAGATCTCATAATCTGTGCAAAATATTTTTACGCTTTACTCTTTAAGTACATTTTTAAACATATACTTTAATACTTTGTAGATTTTTTCATGTGATACTTCCTCCAGTATCTGTAACAAAACTGAGTACCTCATCCACCACTGGATTTAGTTCACAGTTTAGTAACATTTGAGACATGTTTAGTCTTGGTTTAGTCCTGCTACTGAGAATGTCTTCCCTTTATCCCGCACTCCCTTTTCCCTTATAGGCTCGCTTCTTTAAAATAAAATCCAAATATTTTCTGCGGTGAAAAGTTTAAGAACCACAGTTATTGACTATATTATTTATTCATGCCTTATGTCGGTGCCGAATGTAAAAAACACGGACGAATACAACAAGCTGTGCATTCATTTCAAGGGGAAAGTGCAATAAAAACACCAGGGAAATATAGATATAAGAATAGAAGGTATACATAACAAATAGACCTGAAGGTGACGTTAATCCTGCCTCGGATTACTGTCAAAATTGCGGGTCCTGAACTGGAGGTGATGGGATATTTGACCATTCAAGGACAAATACAACAAAGCGCACACACAATGGCTTTACCGTAGAGTGGAGAAGGCATTAGAGAGGCAGTCATGCAGTACAGGTGAGAGGAGAAATCTGTTCTCAGGACGAATAAAGCTGCTTTGACTCAAAATTGAAACCCGTGTTTTGGCAAAGTAAGAAAAATGTATTATGTATATAGATGACAATGATGGGCATTTTATAAAGCAGTTTTATAGAAGTGCAAAGAAGACGTTATGGTTTTGTCTGGTGTATAGTTATAATCTATTCTATGGCACCTGTGGGTCATCATTTCAGATTTTGGGTGTTTTAAATCTAAAGCAGGAATTTTGGTAGTGATGTTTTCTTTCTTGATTGCATGAGAATTTTGAGGTCAAATTTGCATGAACTTCAAATCAATTGTACAATTCTAACAAGACAGTTTTGCATCTCATTTTAAAGGGCCCATGTTACACTATTTTCTGATCTATGTTATATAGTAACAAAGTAAAAGTAGTAAAGTACAATTCTTAAGTAGATTTTAATGTGGATACTTTTTACTTTTGAGAGCAAGTATCTGTACTTTCTGCACCACTACAATCCCGAACAGGATTGAAAAGTAAAAGTATTTTTATTATTGTTTAAGATCTGATGAAATGACTGAGGGTTTATTTTTACCACATTCATAATTTGAGCAAACAAAAACATTACAAAAACATAATAAACAAACAAAAATCGTCAGATAAAGAAAAAGAGGTACAGCGCTTCACTGGCTCCATGAGGGTTAAACAGTAGCCTTTAAACAGAAAGTTACTCTTACTGGAAAATGTAAAAGTGAGCAAGGTACAAACCCGAGGCACTCTGACTACATATACTAGCAAGATGGTCTTTGTCAGGGCAAAGTCACTTTTTAAACAGATACTTTAATACTTTGTAGATTGTTTTCATGTGATACTTTCTCTGATTTCTGGTAATCTGGTAATGTCATTTCCTCATCAGAAACATATTCAGAATTGAGTTTTGTTTCATTCACACAGGCTGAGTTCTTCTCTCAAACTGAAAACACCTTGTTCCACTTTGTGATGTCATGTGGTAGTGCAGGAAGGGCTCCACACACCTTCACTTAAGTCATTTGGATCATTTCAGCCCTGGAATGGCCAATCTCTTGAAAACTACCACTTCATCGCATCACAAGGTGGAACAGAGTGTTTTGAGCTTTGTAGTTGTAAACTGAACAGTAATAAATGATTACTCAAACATCTGTGAATGAAACAAACCTCAACACTGAGTATGTTTCTGAAAAGGTACCAACATTATAACATGGGTACACACTGCTTAATATAGAACCTTTAAGCTTTACATTATATTAGCTATTAACCACACACAACGTAAACTACCGCTCCAGCCACGCTTACAACACAAGTACCTAGATGAATAATGGCCCTTGTTGGCAGAGTGGTTAACACTACTACAGTGCTATAGAATTCTTGTCACTTGCCTTTTTAAAGCCATAGACCATTATGCATAACTCTGCAGGGGGCACTGCTTTGAAAAGTAAGTATAGATTCGACTTAACTTAAGTCTATTTACAGCAAAAGCAGAAAAACAATACGTGTGAAGTTATGTAATGTGACAGACTACATAAACATAATGCAGAAGTATAGATGGGAAAATATAGCCTGCACTGTAGAACTCATATACTAGAATAGTATAAGAGCCAATTATCTGCATTAACTGAGGCAGACCAGATTCTCAAACCATTTAAATATGAAGTTGATCCTTGATAGAAAGTTCTAGTGGTTCTAGTGTATAGGGTTGTTGTGTCATTGGGCAAGATACTTCACCCACCCATTTATATAAGAGATGGTGTGACAATAACTGTGTTTTAAACTCCATACAACTTCACTTGAATCTTTTGGATGATTTCAGCCCTGGAATTGCCAATCTCTACTGAACTCAAGGTAAAAGGAGCTGTTAACTTGAAAACTACCTCTTCATCACAGTGTGGAACAGATAATTTTGAGCTTTAGAGATGCAGACCGACTATAAGGCCCCATTCACACTAGTACATATTTGAGGAATTTTCATTGTGGATGCAATGTTCGTTCACACTAATCCGATGGAAAATGGCTCCAGAGATGGAACGATCTGGTGTAGCCAGCTCCCAAAAATCCATAAAAGTACGGATCTGATCCGGCACTGTGTAGATGCCTGAAAACGTTGATAGGCTGACGTAGGAGCTCTAGTTGCATCCTTATTGAACCACGTCACTGTGACTTGCACCTTCCCGATTCACTGGGTTCATGACATCGGGCATGTGACGCTATTGCAGAAAACAGTTTAAATAAACCATAGACAAATGGCAAACAGCGTAGCTAGAACTACTTGCTAGTACATGGTTCACGTACAGACTGTTTTCATGCTTGCCATCTTCCTCGGCTCGAAATCGGCTGCGGCAATTTACTAGCGGTTCAGGCAGAATAAAGCGTGAAGTGTAGTTCTATAGGGCTATGTGTATGACCTGCAGATGTATAATCTCTGAAAAGTTTAACATGAACCATCTCCAAGAAGCCCACTTATATAAGCACAGAACAAACTCACCATCAGCAGAACACCCCTCTGTCACAGAAAAAACACATATAATCCACTGAGTTGTGTCCTTTATTCCCACAGAAGCTGAACCACATCAGCTCACAAGGAGCAAGCTGTTTTTATGAGTGCTTATTTTATGCAAATGATCCATGTGGTTTTAAATTTCCTTTCTGAAAAACATAAACAAATATGCTCAAAACTGTGTGGATAGGGAAGGCTTGCAGACACAGAAAACGACATGTCTGGTCCCAAATCATTTCCGATACGGTGATACAGTGATTTGTTTCAGTGTAAACAGTGTAACATGCGTGAATGAAACAAAACACAACTCCAGGTATGTTTCTGAGGAGGCAACAGCAACATAACCTGGCTTAAAGCTATGAATCAATTTTGACCTGTAATTGTAAAAAAATGACATCATCTTTGTACCTTTATGCCTTCCAGACAATGTTCTGTCCGTGTTCCTTTGCACTGTCCAGCCAGCAGCTAATCTCACCAACGTTAAAGGGTAAGTCTATTGTCACTGACGCAGTGTGTACATTAGCATTCTGCATTTAACTCACAGTGCCATCTTTAATTTCAAACTCCCTTCGACTTCTAATTAATCAGTGCGATATGTACAGACTATCTGCCACTGTGCTGTCAAAACATTCCCCAAACAAGGGCCTCATACACATTTCCGGGTCTTTCTTTTCTCGTTCCACAGTGTATTATTTAAAATACACACTTAAATCATAACTACACAGAGACGCTAGAACACAAAGCAGATTTATTCACAATGAAAGAAAAGTTTGAACATTGGCAACCGTTAATGGCTGTGGACTCTTTTGTAATTCTGACATCAAGCAATACTAAGCTACAGTTTTATTTTTTGAACATAGTGTCAGAGCTTTTGAAAAACAACTTCTCACCAAATGGCTTCAGGGTAGTTTTGTTGCATTCTATTGATTAAAATCTGTCTGAGGAATTGATCTATTTTTAATTACAAAATTGGAAAGAAGGGCTGTTTTGTATTGGCCAATTTGTTTTACACTCCGTTTTCAACTCCTGTAATTGATTTCACTGGCACTTTGTTACTTTACCCTTAAAACAATGAATCTACCTCATTAGGAAAAGTGGAACCGCCAAACTTTAACCCTTCCTATGCTGTAACAAAATATAGACTTCAATCTGTCCTTTTATTCCAAGGCCTCTAAGGACATTACTATTTGATTTTCAGCAAAATAGCAGTTTTACTATAATTTATTACAAATAGACAGTGTTGGGAATAACGGTGTTTAAGTATAATAGCGCTACTAACGATGCTACATTTTTGGTAACGGAGTAATCTAATTCATTACACTCCCCATCGTTACAACGCCATTATCGTTAACGGGAAAGCAAAGTGGCACGTTACAATTGGGTCGAATGAGTCGGCGTGGTGTCAGGCTTCATGCAGCGGACACACACATCATCAGCATGAGAGAGCAGGGCCAACATAACTGGCTAAGAAGTTGGCTGGGCGGAGTCTCTGCTCACGCTGCCTTGTTGTTTCTTTCCTACACATTTCAGGCTAAATTAGGTTAGGTTAGGTTGCTTTATTCGTACCCGTAGGTAAATTTGTTTTGCAGATTTGAAAAGCAGGTCCCACATTTCACATTTCATTCATCAACATTATGTACAATAAACACGTATAAAAACACAATTACAAAATAAAGTGTTACAGAGCTTCAGTGTAGAATAGTTTGTTCCATATACAATTACCATATTTTCCGCACTATTAGACGCGCTTAAGCCTCTAACCCCATCAAAAAGCCAGAGCGCCCCATACACGAATCCACTCGGGTGTCCCAGCACGACTTCAGTAAACTATAAAGCTGCACCACCGACAGCGCACACAAACACGCACGGAGCAGACAGCGACCGCGCAGCAAAACAGACCCGCAGCCACACCTCATCACTCCACACAGACGAGGAATGGAACGGAGGAACGAACCAAAAAAGTGAGTGCAATGTGCCTTTCTGAGCCACAACTGAACAAATGAGTCACTGTGAACACGCCAACAATCCAGCGGTCCCAGACAGCACCCTCCCTACACGCCACAACTGAAGAAAAGAGTCACTGTGAACGCGCCAAAGTCCGACTGACCCATCCAACTGTAGTGTTTCGTTTAAAGTCCGGTGTGGTTTATTTGTGAAAAAAGTTTGAAAATAGACCATTTAATGAGTGCATCTTATAATCCAGAGCACCTAATAGCCTGTAAAATACGGTAGTTAAATTCATCCATCACGCTTGGCTAAAATCACAATAAATATTAAATATATAAAAACACAAGATTTTTTTTGGACAATGTACTAAACTGTACAATGTACAACATACTAAAATGAGACAAACTCAACGAGAAAGCGACAATGACAATGACAAGCCAGGGATATTCAAAGGCAGCGTTTTCAAACTGGAAATCCTGACACTATTTCTCCCTCATTAAAATAAAGGACAAGAATGTGTATGTTAAATGTACACACTCTGCCCCAGGACAAAAATTCTGTCCGTGTCTGTTCAATTTGAATAAATATATGATGATATATACTGTTTTTAATCTTCATTCAGTTACTATAAACTTCTTTGATGCAATAGTATATAACAAGGAAATAACTGGATAATTACTTTGCTGAGTAATTAATTACTTTTATAGCATGGTACTTTATGGGGCAAGTAATTTGTAACCGTAACTAATTACTTTTTATATAGTAAAATGCCCAACACTGCAGACAGACACATTTGGGGATCGCATTCATAGAGCAAAAATCATTTTGAGGATGTAGAAATGAATCAAATTGATAAATGACAAATGTTCTATCTCAAAGCACTTTCTATCTGAAACACCAAGTAATTTAGTTTAAAGGTCCTATATTATGGAAAAAAGTTACTGTTTTGAGCTTTTAGCCATGTTATAATGCTGTTACCTCAAAAATGTTGTGTTTGTTAAATTTACACATGTTTGAGTAATCCTTTATTACATAAGAACTCCTAAACATGCAGGATATGTGTGTTAAACTTGTGTAAATGAAACAAAGCAAAACTCCAGGTCTATTTATGATGAGGAAACTACAACATAGATTGAAAAAATGGAATATGGGGCCTTTAAAGGTGCACTGTGTCACTGTTCTGGTGTCTGAGATTTGCCACTTGCTTGACTTCATGGAGATGTTTATGTTTTGCCTGTAACGTTCCTCAGTATGACATTAAACTTTCACCCTTACACCAAAAAAAAACAACCAAAAAAAACTTAAAAGCAACCACATTATTTTCCAGCTAATCTAAAGAGCCAGAATCTGACTTCTGTGGACTGAAGCACACTCACAGCTCTGCTATGTGTCCCTAACCACTATCTGTATAAAAAATGTATGCCATGTGATTGTGCCTGGCTTTTCATCATTCCTCTGGGCGAATCCTCGTCTTACACCAGTTAGCCACCTCCAGCCCTGCTCTCCACTAATGGGAATTGGGTTTCTTATCTCCTGTGTCCTGTGTACTTGTCCTTATTCTTTCAAGTCGGGGCATGTCTAGTGGAGTGGTGACAGTATAGAGCTCCTTTTGATTGCACATACAAAAAACAGCCAATTCAGACGGCCATATCTCCTTATTTACCCAGTACTTACCTTTATGTATAAGACATGAGCTTAGTCTGGCCAATGGCACGGTGTATTTTAGCCACATTTAAAAGGGTCCACCTCAAAATCAATACAAGTTTCAGGTGTACCCTATAATGAGAATAGTTAATGCTCTGCTTTGTGCACTGGGGAACCAAAGCCCTTAAGCTGTCTTCAAAGCCACCAGGACTCTATAAAGGAAAATGTCAATGCGAGCCAGAGGAATACAAGAATTGCGGGCTAACTGTTGCAGCTCAATTTTGATGGGTCAATAGTGATTTGAAATGCAAACTACGAAAACTCATGTAAAATAAGTTGAGATAACAGCTCTGGGGGTGGTTGGGTTGAGACGTAATTACCTTTTGAGGATAAATCATTAAATATAGTGATTATCGTCATGTCAAGGTAGTATTTGATTTTAATGTAACCAAGCAACAGTATTTTCAGATAGCAGTGCTTCAGTTGGATGAGAGTTATTTTTTGTGCATTCTTCATTAATTCCCTTTTAAACATGCTTTTGGTCACCTTGAAATGAACATTCTACATTTTTTGTTTGTTTTGGAAATACACAAAATTTAGTCTATAATTAAAACTAATGAAATATAAAAATAAATAGATACTCTAGTGTAATCTCAAAAATAAAGGTTATAGCGTGATATTTCTGCAATGTTATGTTTTTTTTTGTTTCCTTCTTTCATTTCATTTTTAATTTCTAACCTAAAATAGTGTGTACATTTGGAAAATAAACTTTGTAAACTATACCCCCATTTCTAATCAGGTTTTTAAGTACTCTCTACTGAGAGTGACCGGAATTAAAAATAAGAAACAAAGGCATGAAGCTCTGTTTGAAATATGATTGCTACATTAACAGAGCCATGTACACAATTTGATCGCAACATGTGTCCTCTGATGGCTTGTAGTCTTAAAAACTGCACAGGACAAGTCAGGATTTGTACCTGTGACGAAACAATCTGAGCACAATGCAAATAATGGATAATGTATTAATGAAGCAAGTGTGAATGAAGCAAAATACAGTCCAGATTTTTGTATTTTTTTATGAGGGGACAACATTATACCATGATCAACAGCTAAAAAAGTAAAATTTGCATTATATGTGTCCTTTAAAAGTTCTACTACCACAACTGCGACTAGGCTACCATTACCGACCACGTAAATAGTGAAGTCCAGTCTGGATGCTAACATAAAGCTACTATTTTTAGCGTCTGTTACTATGCATCTGTCTCCTCACGTCCCCTTTAACCAAGTCATTTCCTCCTAGATCTGCAAAACACATACTTTGTCTGAGTACCTCTCATAACCCCACTTCAGCTCGCTGGATGACTTTGAGTGTGTACACTGACTGTGGCATTTAAAAGAGAATTCCATCAGAGA